ATCAGGCATGAAAGGGTGACAGGGATTCAGGAAGGGAAATATGGCGTTTTTAGCGGATATTCTTCGGCATACTTTTGACCTTCTTTGGGTCTTCATTGGCGCAGCTCAGCTGCCTTCTGCGCTGTTCTCGTTGTTTCCAGTAACCCGTTTAAGCAGTGTGCACTTTGCAAATCCAAGAACCTTGTCACATTACATGCGTCGTTGTTCGTAGTTATATAATTTGGTATGCACATTTACACTCTAAGGTACAAAGTCATCAACAAGTTTTCGTAATCTCTAAGATGTAATGGAAATTGTTATTTTTTTAATAGTCAGAAGAATAAATTGCATTGTTTATGAGTATATTATTGACCCCCTGATCCGAAACAAAAATAATTATTAAATAATTGACATATCTCTCTGTCAATATTTTGTTGCTTTTTTGCAGCTGCCGATTTCAATAATTATACAAGGACTGTGATTTTCCCTCAAAGTTATGTTCTCATGGAAAAGAAATTCTAGAAAACTTACCACAGGACATGCACATTTTTAGAAATACTTCAGAACAAGAATTGTCCATCATTTTTCACAATGGAGTTTGAGCACATCATTGACCTTCCAAAACACAAACGAAGATTTTATTTATCATTCTGTCTTTTAATGTTGTATTCTAGCAGCTGCTGTCTTTCTTTTACATTACTTGCAAGGACTGTGCTTTTCCTCGACTAGCAAAGTGTTCACATGACATATGTACTTTTTTCACAATCTATATAGACAGAAGGAAAATGATGCAAACATTCTGTCACATATAGCTAGAGTACATCATTGACCTTTAAAAATAACAAGTGAAAAATATATTTCCTTTCTGTCTTTTTGTCGCTGTCGCATTATATCAGCTACTGATTAGGTTTACAAGGACTATGATTTTCCCTTCAATTTTGTTGCTAATGGACAAAAGTTCTTGGAAAGTTGCCACAGGACATGTACCTCATTTAGAAATACATGTAGTTACATTCAACAAAAGAAGTGTACATCATTTATTTACAATGGATTTTGAGTACATCGTTGACCTCCCAAAGCACAGGTGGATTATTTACTACTCTCTCAACCGTTTTCTTTCATACTCGCATCTGCTTGCTTGTTTAACATGAATTGCAAGTACTTTGCTTGTCACTACACTTTCCTTACTTAAAATGGAACTAGCACACTTGCAGAACATGTACTCTTTTAGATTTTGAAAGCCAGAAGAAAATTATGTCCATTTTCTGTCAAATAGCTGGAGTAGATCATTGACCTCCCCAATAACAAGTAGAGTATTTTTCTTCTCACCTTGTAGTATTCTCGCAGCTGCCAGCTTGATTTGAATTAATGTTTCTGTTCCCTAAACTAGTTGTAAAATTTCTATTTTCTTGTCATATTACCTTGTGAAAGTGCTTTCACCTAAGTAAATTACATCGTTGACCTCCAATGATAAAACAAACTACCACACCCTCCTGTTTCTCTCATGTCATCATAGAAAAGGAAAGACTCTAAAGAACATCTTCAAATATCACGTGACTCAAATAGTACCCGTGGAAACTCGCAATTGCCATTAATTTTATTTTTGAAGTTTATAGAAAGACTGATGATTTTCGTAAAGGAAGAAGCATATTTATGTCCTCAAAAATGATTTAGCGATGTTTTAAAAATGATCCAGGAGGGCGTTAAGTTTATATCAAATGGCATAATTAACGACCTTCTAGTTCCAAAGAGAGACCCACTTCCTTCTAAAACATAAGTGTTTGAAAGAACGAATTTGCCTCCGTAGAAGACTTATGTAGTATCAATTTCCTTTCTGCTGTTTACAACCATTACTATTGTTTATATGAATAGGGTTGAAAAAAGTTGGAAAAAACATGTAAAAATATCTGTTAGAATTTAGTCTGTGGCTTTGCTCATTGCAAAGATAGAAGAAACAAAACGGAAATACAAAAACGCACCTCTTTGCATGTGAAGGCTTATATACATAACTAACATCCATCCCCATGCCGAATTTTGACAGTGAGATTGATTCCGTTTTTTTAATGTTCGGCATAATGTTGTGTACTGTTTCGTAGACTGCTGAATATTTATCCAGGGAAGAAAATACTTCTCAGAAAAAAAGGGAAAAAACACAAACACTGAGAAAAGCTGTCATAATTATAGGCCTAACTGTTGAACGTGTCGTTGCTTATTTAAATGACTGGACTCATGATGTTTACGGAACTTCATAATAAGTCTTGTCAATTTTTTAAATAGTCAGGCCCTGGGATTCTTCGCGTCTCACATCTTGTTTTCCTTTTAATAAGAAGAACAGGAGAAAGTGTCACTATTTGTCACACGTACAATGCTTTGCATGCCATGCGGTGAGTCATCCTTAACAAGAATTTTCTTTGACCTTTCTCATACAGCTTTGTCTTTTCTTTCTTTCTTGAGAAATAGAAAAGAAAAGGATAAGAAGGAGGTGAAAGAGACAATTGACACGCATTATCTCACGGTATACCAACTGACAATATTACGTTGAATTGAGTGAATATACTACCAGCGGAGAAAGGATACTCCATCGGTTTGAGTGGGATTTGTCCCCCGCATCGCCGGGGCAGGGGATGCGACTTAACGGGTACTCGAGTGGCTATTTGACGTGTCAATCAAACGCTTATTGTTTTTTGTCTTTTGGAATAAAAGAAACTTTTGCATACTTCCCCCCCCCCCCTAAATTGGACATCACTTCTCTCTCTCACTCTCTCTCTCTCTCTCTTTCCATTATGTCTGTCGTTCATTTTCATAACTTTATTTCTATTAAATAAAAAAGACTGTTTTCAGTTATGAGCGCTCTCTTGTTCTTTTCCGTTCCGCTAAATCTGTTTTCTATACTATACCCTGCCCCGCCCTTCTCCCTCAGCCCCTATCTCTCCCCCTCTTTCAGAGTAGATGGTTTTTGCAAATCATAATTTTTCGTATAGAATAGAAGAGATAAATAACAGTATACGCGTAGGCTTATATAATTAATTTTGCAACAGTGTACGTACACTTCTCAAGCATTACTTTATTTTATTACATAAAAAGAACATGTTTTTGGATTACAATATATACTTCCCACCCCTCCCACATACCTACCTCTCTCTCTCTCTCTCTCTCTCTCTCTCTCTCTCTCTCTCTCTCTCTCTCTCCCTCATCGTACAGAGACGGTGTACCATTCTGATAACAAATATTCTTAGCAATCTTTCTAGCGAACAGAAAGGAAAAAACGGGAACGTAACATATGACCCTATATACCAGCATTGATTGGAAAATACATATTTGAACACAGGACGACAAATTGACTAATATTAACTTTTCATTCACAGAGCGGAAAATGTGTTTCTCTTCTTGTTTTACCATGTTGAGTATACAAATGCCTTTATTTGATTTATTGGTTCTGCTCTATTTAAAGCATATACTCTGGAAATCATTTGTAATGAGGACCTACACCTTGTTAAAATTCATAATGAAAGAGAAGAAATAATAAGAAGTTTGCAAACATTCTCATTGTGAATACCTCCATCCTATTTCTTCTCAAATCGTACCAGATGTAATTATACTTGTATTTCCTAAGATGTCACACCATTTCAATGTTATACTCATTA